CGACGGGAAAATCTAAAATTCAGTTAAATCATCTTGTTATATTATGACTGTAAAATTTCATCATCTTTTTTCTTACCTTGGACTTGGGCTAATCACCAACCAATCAGAATATTTATTTCCCATGGACCTAGCCGAATCGTCTACCAATCAGAACAATCTGTTTCCCACTGACCTAGTCAAATTTTAGTGTGATTAGAAATTTATAAATATGATGTGCTTTTTTCCTAACAAAGGTCTATGTTCTAATAGTTGCAGACCAGTCTTTGTCTTTAAAAATTTACCTGGCTCATTGAAGCGAAAGATAGTAAGGACGAACAGGCGTATCTAGCGTATCGGTTGTTGAGTTGTCCATTGAGTCAGTGTTATTACATTCACGCATAAGTTCACTCGGTTATATCAACTGTCAACGAGATTGTAACAATTGGAGACGGGTTCATAACACAAATACTGGATATCTTTCTAGGAGTTATCCACGAATTGTCTGTCTGTATAGTCTATTCCATTTATTCACTATGTATCGAATGGCATTTGTTGCTTGTTTTCCAAAGTGTGTAGTTCGTTATTTCTCTACATTTAATCTATTCTATTCCAAATATTTAGTGGATGGTGACTAGCGCATTTCGTCCTATTCGGGACTCGTCAGCTTGATGTACCTGCATTTCCCCAGTGAGGGAGTGAGTGAGTGAGTGAACACTTCTGTTCAATCAATCAATGGAAAAGTCCAGATTGAATTAAATACTATTCCAAATTGACTGACTGACTGGTTTCAATATGAAGCTTTGCACAGATATGCAGCAGTTTGAGTTACAACTCTCCATGGCGTAGGTTGGTAAAGGCCGAAAAAGCCTTCAGTATCCGTACTGAGATTTCATCAGCGATCAGATCATCCCGTGGTGGCTGATACAACTCCACAAATAAGTGAAGTGGTCAACACACTCCACCAACAACTTCACTGCCTCACTATCTTCAAGCTAAGAGTGAGTCAGTGTAGTCCACTCCAGTCCATTCCAGTCCTGTAGCATCATTTTACACTTGACGGGAGCGAATCAAATGCCAAACATTCGACAATAGCTCACTGTTCAAGATGTTCAAAAGACTCTGCTCTACTTTGTCACCGTCTTCACCAAAGAGAGAGGACTATATCATCTGCCTATTCTATGTCGACAAGATTATTATTTCCTGATAACAAGTCAGTCAATCCCTGATTCACTGAAGTCAGTTAGGGTTAAGTCAATTAGCACATACATCTCTGATGAAATTAAACAGAAATGGGGATAGTGGGCTGGCATCCCTGACAGATACCACTGGTTGTCACCAGTTCAGATCACAACTCTCCGTCGACTCTCACCTGAGTGACTGGATCAATTTGAACTATTCCAAATATGCATTTCAATTACCCTCCAACAGGATTTAAATTTAATTTTTTTATCCATATATTATTTTATTTATTTTCATTTTGAAACAGGTTGAAAATATTCTTATCGATGATCGAAGTAATTTTGTCCTGTGCGATTTTGGCAGTGCAACATCACGTGTTCTACATCCTGGTGTACATGGTCTTGCAAGATGTGAAGATGAAATTTCTAGGTAGGCAGGGAGGGTTTTTGGTTTGTTTTTTTGTTTAAATTAAAAGGAATGTTATCATTCATCTCTTTGTTGACGTGTTTGTGTGTGTTTCTTTTCAGTGAGAATGTACTGTCTCCTCACTTACTGAAAGAAGTGTCTCCGGAAAGAGGGAAAGAGTTCATACTTCCTTGTCGCACACATACACTGTAAAAACTAACATTTCTCACTAAAAAGTTTAAAGATTGAAAGGAAATTGCTTTCTAGCGAGGCATAAAACACCCCTCCTCCAGCCACACCTAAATGATGATATAAACAACTGACGACGGAAAGCCGAATTTTACATGGAGTTGTTAGATCCCACAACTTACTCATAATGTTCAGTCTGTCTCAATAGAGAATAATTAAAAATAATAATTTAAAAAGAGAAAAAAGGATCTGAAATAATAGAGAAGATTTGCAGCTTAGGTGGATGATTTGCAATTATTAGTGCTCTCTGAGCTGGTCGGTTTGGTTGCGGAGCTTTCGTTGTCCTTCTGGACAACATCTTCAGCGCAATATTTGCCATAAAGTGAACTGATTTAAATTTCTTCATGAGTGATATAATTGCGTCTCCTGGTAACTATCTTCACATATGTATTGACCATTTTCTATTGACTTGGATTTTAAACTTTCTGGTCACCTGATTTACTTTTTATTAGTTGGTATATTTCGTCTATATGAACGTGTTTGTTAATTGCATTTTCGTTTGAGTACCAGGCTTCTAGGAATTCCCTGACTGCACTTTTGGTGTTTCCTCTGTCTAAGATTTCGACATTATCTCAATCAAATTGATGTCCATAATTGTCTATATGCATTGATATTAAAGAATATATATCGTGTCTTTTCACGGCTGATTTGTGTTCTTGGATTCTGATTCGAAGGGGACGCCCACTTTGGCCGATGTAATGCCTGTTACAGTTCATACAGTTTATTTTGTAAATGGTATTAATTTTATCTTCCTTCTTTTTCTGTTGGATCTTTCTGTTTGCGTAATATCGAATTAAGTGATTTTACTGGCTTGTGTGCTATATCTATTTCAAACGGTTTCAAGTATTCTAGCTGTTATTTCAGAGATATTTCTCATGTATGGTAGAATGAATTTTCTTGTGGTCTTTGGTGATGGTTTCTTGTTGGTGTTTTGATTCGACTTTAAACACTTTTTGATGAAATTTTGTGGATAACCATTCTTTTTGAAGTGCGTCGGTGGCACTGCTACAGAAACTTCAAGTCACTAGCTTGAAGCCCTATGTTCCACTGGGGAACGTGAAGGAAATAAAAAATTCTTTTTGAAGACTGTTTGTAAGCTCCGCAACCAAACTGACGAGCTCAGAGAACACTATTAATTGCAAAACAGAATCTGTTGCTCAAAAAAAAATGAGTGGAATTCTTGTCCCAGTAAACCTAGTGGATAACGTTTCGGTGTCTCGAACGATTGGTGCTAGGTTCGAATCATAATGACAATGTGATTATAAATCGTGAGAGGTGTGTAAAAAGTGTACACTGTCCCGTTGCTCATACTGTAACAACTGATATCTTCACTGTGAAAGGTCTGTAGGTGAAAGGGGATTTATTTTTTGAGAGGCAAAATAAACGACTTAAAAGACGTCTAAGTAATAAAGACCTACTTAACTGGTAATAAAAAGCCGAATTTTAGAAGTGGATTTTACATCTCGAAATTTGTGCTAGTAGTGTTAATGACTTGACAATCGAAGCCTAAAGTGTGTGTGTGTGTCTTTGTGTGTGCAGAAAATGTTTGTTCTTATTCTTCTGCCGTGATCTTGAACTCTTTCGTATTTGATACAAGAATTCCCTTTTATAAATTCGGGCAGAGAAAAAGAACAAACATTGGTGTAGAATAACATGAAATCATCAAGGTACTCTACTCGAACTCATGCAGCCAATTGACAGCCTACGGAGAGTTGTCATCTGAACTGGTGACAACCGGTGGTTTCCAGCATGGATGCCAGCCCACTATCCCCATTTCTGTTTAATTTCATCATAGATGTACTAATGGACTTAACCCTAACTGACTTCAGAGACTCATAAATAATAATAATAATAGTCTTTTTCACTTAGAATATGAGAGAGCTTAGGAGACCGTCGAATGATATAGCGACCAGTGCAGGCTAGCCTTCGAAGGGAACCCGAATAGTGGACGATGAGTTGGGCGTTTGTTAGGAGTTGACATGGAGGAGGAGATGCGAGACTTTGGACAATCGTGGGGACATCTTAAGAGGACCGCAGAGAATAGAACAAAGTGGAGACATTCTATTGAAGCCATATGTACCACTTGGAACCCAAGGAAACAACATTATTATGCTAATTACACCTTTGTTTACTCACACGTTAATAAGTGTTCGCAAGCACACACATACGTATAGATAGAAGATACTCATAATGGAATACTTACCACAATAGTTATTTCACGTTTACAAACAGCAAGATCATGGCTATTGTTTACACAGGTTCTTTTCAATGCATACGTGTGCCCATGTTGAGATACTACACGAAATACAACACCGAATCCTCCTAAAGAAAAATGAAAAATACAAGAAAAGAAGACAAATGAAACGAATGGTTAAATAGTTTAATGTAAAATTGGTGCATTACCCTTCTGACTAAATGTCCCATCTGAATGGTGAATCGATTTTCGCAATACTAGTCAGTTTATAACGGCAAAACAAATTTCGGAATAACCACACTTCAACATAATACGAGACCAAGAACTGAGTACTTCTTTCAGTCGGAAGTAAACAGTAAATTAGACACTTGTAGGATTCCAGTAAGAAACAATGAATGCACATAACGCCTGAAATAAACTACTCGGAACAGATCTCTCATGTTCCAGGCTAAAAGCCACACTAATTATGTGTGTGACCGTTGGTCATATTATCCAGTTTCCCTCAAGTTTCAGTGCATGGAGTGGTATTCCAGCGTGCTACCCGTTGACTGGAATCCTGACCCTTCAGAGCGAATGAACCGCTACTTCAGTGAATGATCCGCATAGTACAGGAACTACAGGGAGTTAATTCCACGACTTCATTGCTGCCAGATTCGGATCTATGATCAGTTACTTTGATTGGACACTAGTAACTAGTGTCGTGGTGTGTCTGGTCCTTTCTTTGGTGCAGACTGAATTCTATCAGTCAGGTTTGCAATGTGGCTACCATTCTAGGTAGCTCGCCATCACGGTGTACGTTGATTTGATGATATTAAATGGTTGGAGGTAACCGGCCACAGGATGCCACCTAGGTTTCGTGCTAGTTGGCCACCTTGAGGCGACTCATATACCTTCTGAGATTCGAACCCTCGTCACCCAGTGCTGCCCACAGTCAGAGATGTTACCACTTAGTTATTCCTTTAAGGTTGTAGATACGCCTTGCCGACTGGTGAGAGTGCCAACTAGCACGAAACCTAGGTGGTGTCCAAGGCTTCCTGTGGCCGATTGCTTCCAACCATCTAATATCATCTATGATCAGTTATTTGGAACCCAAATCATTAGTTCAAAAAACCACAACCGAATGTGAATGTTCAGAAAAGAAATCCATAGAAAAATAACAATGTAATGCTGGTAGTTATAATTTAGTGGATTAATTTACATACGTTAAAGAAACTTGATCATAACGATCATTGTCTGACAAACATTTCATGACACTTTTTATAGTCATTTCTTCTATTCGTTTTCTCAGACTTACTATTAGATAGTAAGAGTCACTCAAACTGGAAAAATGTGTCCACGGATCTATTAGGTTATATCGATCATAGTGGCATGAGAATATTCTCAAACCGAGACACAGGTGTCATTTCACACCGTTATTATTTATGCTAATTATTATTATAAAAAGACATTTTCTTATGGTTTATTTTTTTTTTTCTGTTTTTATATGGTGCTACACCAGTTTTGACAACATGAAATTCACCTCCTTGTCAGTTTTCTTCTTTAATATTATTCCAAATGGAAGATAGGGCTTCAACACCACGTCTCCACTCTGTCCCATTCTCTTCGGTTCTCTGTACGTGTTCCTTTGATTCCCCATATTCTCTCATCTCTTCTTCCCCCAAACGATCTACTCCATATCAAAATTGGACCAGTACCCGACTCGTCGTTTCCTATTCGGGTTCCACTCGACGACTAGCCTACACTGTACACGATGTCATTCGCCGGTCTATTCAGCATGTGCCTCATCCATCACCATCTTCTTGTACATGTTTGTTGGTTGGTTCATTCATTGCCAGAGTTTCTTGTTGCCGTTGTTTCTTTTTGGCCGGTCAGTCAGCCATTTGATCTTCAATAAGGAGCGAAGATGCTTTATTTAAGCCGCCAATTTTCATTGTCGGAACCCAAGGAAAGAAGAATAAGGCAATGATAGTCATTTTGTCATTTAAATGTCTAAACAGGAATTTTGGCTGTATAGAAATCTATTGGTGGAGTGTACAGTATGTATAGTTCAGTTTTGATTGATATTGGCGAGAATTGCTATGCAATTGTTTCACTTGCGCTGATCGATACTATCAAGGATAAAGTCGATAAAGGTCGAAGCTCCAGCTGATTTAAGCGAATTACATTGGCGTCTGCTGTTTGGATTGTTCGGTATCGAGAGCTCTTTGGTAATTTATTCGGTACCCGATAGATGATAGAGAAAGACTCTTTGCGGCCTGTTTGACGAGGTGATTCATTATAGAGCTGTTGATGAATTCAACAACACCGGTAACGGTTCGTAGAACAACTGCCAATATAGTTGGTCCCACAGCAAAGTTGCTTTGATAGATACAATTATTGGTGGCTGGCTAGCCTAGGTACTTCATCTTTTAATTTCAGAATCACAGCCGGTTGTGAGGAAGATATAAGCTGCAGCTTACTGGCATTAAATGTTCTTGGAATCGATTTTTTCAACTTTTTGGTTATTATTTCACTTGGTATATCACCTTTGAATTGTACTCATTTATTTTACTTACAGTGTGTTACTGTTATTTTTTTGGAATTATTTCTGCTGACTAGGTATACAACTTTAGCGTATCGTGCTCCTGAAATGGTCAGTCTATCAACAACTATACCATTAGGTCCACAAATTGATATTTGGGCATTAGGCTGTCTCTTGTACTGTTTATGCTTTTTTAATTTACCATTTGGAGATAGCGTGCTGGCGATACAATCGGGCAATTTTAGTCTACCAGACAGTTCACCTTATTCTGAACGATTACATAAATTAATTGGTAAGTTGTTTTGTTGGTTGGTTGGTTGTCTGTTCTACTTTTTTGTTGATTGTTTCATTTTCTATGTAAACGTGTCTGTTCATAACCGTTGTTTAGCAAACAAAGAGACGGAAGCATCTTCAAGTGTTGGTTTGTAGGGATTTGATTGGTTACAGGATTTTCATCATGAGCGGACATCACTTACAGAACCATTGGGAAATCTGAGAGTACTGGACAGCTGTTTCGCCCCAGTTTGGGACTCTTCATCAGTACGCACCTACCGGGATTCGAACCCAGGACCTTCTGGTTTACAAGGCGAGCTCGTATACCATAAAGCCACTGGGACCCGATCCAATGGCCAGCCCATGAATTCTAACTTCTGCCAATTCACGATATATCGCGACCCCTAGCCAATGTCTTCTGCTAGTATTTGTCCTCACACCCGACCTGCTGCACCCTACTGGTCACGTTTTCTCACTAGAACCCCAGGTAACTACCTACCTGAATAGAGCAAGTCGCTAGTGAGCATCTCATTGATATTCAAGGACGAAACAGCTGTCCAGTACTCCCAGTTGGTTTTCCAATGGTTCTCTAACTAATGTCAGCTCATGATGAAAATCCTGTAGATGGAAGCATCGATAACCTTTGCTGACATAATGACGTGTATGAGAATTGATTGCCAGTCGGTAACGCAACGTAACAGTTTAATCCAAAGTGTGATACATCACATCTATCATTGCTGCCGACAAGTAGCGGCTACTTTGCGTGGTGGTCCGCCTTTCATGGTTACTGTTAATCTCGCAGCACAAGTCAGTTCCTCCATACCGAATAGGAATGGTGACGCTTTGGCGCATTCTCCTCAGTCCGGCTGGACAATCGAACAAAGAGACGGCTGAGTCCGCACTTACTGACTCTATAAAGAGCCAACCAGATGGACAACAGCCACACATCCATATCGTGGTTGGTTAGCCAGAGTCAAGTTTGTTTGACGTCCTGGTGTTACGTAATATAGGACTGATCCCTAGAAGTATGATCTTCTTTGTTGGTGACCTGCTTAAATCAGAATACTTAAGCTCCTCTGCATGTCTTATTGTTTAAACCTTACAATTATATCAAAAACAATCACTAGATAAACTCGCACTGCTATTCAATTAACTTCCAACTAGACACTGTGCAATTCTTATGCATGCCCCAGTGAACCATGATGTTCCCACAGAGGAATTCAGGCACATCCAGCTAATGAGTCTCAATATAACACGTAATGTGCATCTTAGATTCCTCTACTCATTCCCATCTGTTGAATTATTACACTTAAAAGGTTTAACTTAGTTTTTTTTTAATGTTTTTACTGATAGAAACAAAGAGTTACTTGACAGAGACAAGAAATCAATAACTCGGTAATTGAGTAGTAACTAATAAGTCGCACAATAATGTGTTGAGTTCAACTTGAGTATAGTAGAAAAAGAACAAACAGATTATAATATACCAGAAGCGAAATCAGAGAATATTTGCACATTGTATTCGCCTCTTTTAGTGTATTCCGAACAAAGTGTGTGTGTGTGTTCACGTAGAGCTGCGGTTATTGAAGGTAGTCAGTTTCCAACCAGTAGATAATAAGTTCTATCGGTGTCTCATCTATGATATTATTAACTAATGCTACTCAACCCCACACCTATTGCGTGAGAGACTGACCAAGCCTTAGTAGATAGATAGATAGATAGATAGATAAAGAGAGACAGGTTGGTGCCTATAACTCATTCGGTAGACAGTTTAGCGCGTAAACAAGTGAACCTTAAATGTGATCAGTCAAATAAATGTATCGTCAGACATCATAGTATCACAGTAAATGTAGATGATTGTGGTGGTTATAAACTACATGCGACTTTTTATCATCATAATAAGTGAGAAACCGCTGATTTACATATTCCTCCATACATTGATTTTTTCTTAATGAATTCAGTTAGCTTAGATAATGTGTTGTGGCAAAGTTAAACTTTAAGAAGCACCAGTAAACTACCAATCAGCGAATGACCTTGGACGCATCAATCACATGAAAGAGGCTAGTTGTGGGGTTGAAATACATAGATTTATGAAAAAAGAGTTCACTCAAACATCTCCCAGCTGAGCATAGAAGTATCAATGGAAAAGTTACACCACATCCTATACGTATATTCATCTATAAATAACATCGCTTTGCGATCCATTATTGTCTCTAATCTTGTTTTTTGACCTTCCCTGAACCCCTTCGATAGAATTGGTGTGGGTCCCTGTAATAGGATCCACAAGATCATTAGAATGGTTGACTCTGTGGTGAATATATCCAAGGGATGGTAAGGATGGACGATCTACATGTCCATCAAAAGACTTGCTGAAGCTTTTTATGGTCATCACACCTCCACATGAACAAATCCTTTCTTTCCTAATCCACCCCACATCTAAGCAATACTGGAGGACTTAATCCTCACCAAATTGCAAACGCAACTGTGTTAGAGCTGGCATTTGACTCGAAACCAGCGGAACAGACGCTTCAACTCACGCAAATAAAACACACTGGACCGTTCAAAGTCAATGGTGCGGCCACACTTCACTGGTGGTTAGTGGTGCTTAAAGTGGCAAAGTCCAACAACAGCGTCCCAAGGGATGCGAACGTACGAGTGGCCTTCAACCAACCAATTATGAGAATAAGTTATTTTTGCACAAAAACTGACCTATATATACAGGAAAATGCACAAAACACATTAAACAGGGTATATTTTTCTGACATGACTTAAAGATACGTCCCAGTTATAATGAAGAGTATCAGTTGCTAAGTTAGACTAGTTTCTGTACATGTATTCACCGAGATGACTAAACATGAGGTGTTTTTATGAATTGTTTACCTCTCTTATCGTGTTGTGCAGTCTTTCCCAAAAACCCCCGGTTGAATTTCTATGATTTCCAGTAAGAGGATTGAGGACTACTTACCAGGAAGATGTGGATAAGAAAACAAATTAAAATAAATGCCATCAACTCTAAATCTATCCCTAGTCTAAACCCAAACCTTTATTCTGACCCTAACCCTAAACTTAGCACTAACCTTAATTACAACCCTTATTCTAACCGTTAACCTAACCCTAATGCTAATTATGACCCTGATCCTAACCTTAACCCTAATACTCACCTCAACCCTAAACCTAACCCTAACGAGCTACTAACACATCTTTCAAACATTACTTAAAACGTGATCTGAATGAAATTTGCTTCTTAGTTGGTGAATAGAGTTGATATTTCAGCTATGGTAGTGACGGGTGCCGTCAGCCAACGACTGGTATGCGTTCAGGGTCATTGGAGCATTCGCACCCCTGGGACGCTATTGTTGAACTTCGCCCTTAAAGTTTAACTTGACCGATGTAATTTTGTTATATACATCTAGTTTTGCCTAAAACTTTAAAATAACTATTTTTAAGGAGTTACCGTGCACTGGCATGAGCCCTTTGTTTTCCCCTCTGTTTGGATTCCTGGATTCCTATTGGCTGTTCATACTTTTAATGCATCACTGAGTCACTGCATTTTCAAGGCTATTCTAACTACACACTAGACAGAAACAGGTATGATTATATATATATATATATATATATATATATATATATATATATATCCAATGCATATGATTTTCTCTTTCTGTCTTTTACAGGTTATATTCTCTGTGTAGATGCATTTAAACGTCCGGATATATTTCAAGTCTGCGCATTAGCCTTTTCACTCGCTAATCGTAGCAATCCTGCACAGAATCTAAATGTATGTTGTGTTTAACATATTCTTACTTGATTGTTTTGTGTGTATTGATTATATGTATGCATTGTATAAAAAGTCAGTAAAGATGGGACTCCATTTGAACATGGAGGAGATGGAGGTGATGATGCTGGTAACAAACCAACCAACAGAGACAAAAAACAGCACCAATCACTATCAACGGGAGTAATTTGAAAGAGGTAACTCTCTTCAATTATCCAGGAAGCATTGTTTCAACCACGGGTCGAAGACCAGATTGCTGGTCAGGAAGTATTAGCAACAAGAAACTCTGGCAATGAACGAACCTACCGAGAACCTATCGTTCAACAAATATGCAGGAGAAAATGGCCTGACCGGTAGCCGATACCTTGACGTGGTGGAGGGGAATACATACCTCAATGACCCAACATGCTACACTGGCTGGAACTAATGTTCCTGCAGGTCCTACCATGGCAGGAAGATTGTGAGGATAGCGATTAGACTAAAAGCAGTTACCGGTATAGTGTAAAATTTTTTAAAACTATGTTGGGGGTCGGTGGCATAGCGGTTAGGACGCTCGCTGACCATGCACATGGTCCGGGGTTCGATCTCCGGCCGGCGCACTCCTTTACCTCACTAAGCCAGAAATAAAGCTGGTGAAGAGGAAAGGTTGGGCATGAGGCTAGCAACTTCATCCTGTAAAAATAAACACTGCTACAGAAACTTCAAGACTCTAGCTTGAAGCTCTATGTTCCACTGGAAACGTGAGGGAATAAAAAAATGTTGGGGGCAAAGTCGTATTGCTGGGGAACAGGTATGTAATGACAGTAAGGTGAAACACCTCAGATGACCAGCATGTCAGCCATGCTGTCACTCCACTCTAGAGAGAGGGTGCTGAAAAAGGTCGATCCCTAAATTGTATATCCTCACTTACCCTACGGTGGTAAGTTACTAATACGGAACCAAACCTAAAAGTCAGTCAACCCATGCATGACCGGCCTCAAGCAATTGTTCCCTGGGCTCTGTAGTCATGCAACACTAATTACTTTTTGTGTTTCATGTACGCAAAGAAAAAATTAACTTCCATGGTGTGGGCAGCCGGGAAGTAACAACCACCCACACACTTCCAAAAGCACACGAAGCCCTCCTGATCATCCTCCTCCTTTATCTCTGTCACCATCATCTTGCTTCCGTACTGCTGCGGAATAGTCAGTCATCTTCATCTCATTCTGATAACGATGAGAGCCATAGAAACACCCCTAATAGCCTCTTAAAGCCACGCCGCCAACTTCATATAACTTCAGAACCCTCTGCCGAATAGGACAACAGGCATCACTAGCCAGAACTCTGGCATCTCAAGTCATGGGTGTATGTTGTGTTTCGGAGACACGCACACAAGAACCGAGAGTGGTCATTTCCTTAACCCTACCTGGCCAACAAAACGAATCTGCGAAATTCACCTTAAGGGTGTCAAGAGAATCCTCAGCTAGTTCGCAAGGACTCGCAGGTGTAGGGAGAGCATTGAGTGTTAGGGCAGAAAAATCACTTCTTAACTGGTTCCCAGTAGATATTCGTATGTTTGCCGTACGTCTAAACGGGTCCATTAGAAGAAGGAAGGACGGCGTTACCCGTCGTTGTCTTTTCATAGTCTCCGCTCACGCTCCAACGGACTGCAGTTCGGGTGAAGTAAAGGATGACCTTTACGAGAAACTGTTTAGTTTTCTGCTTAAAGCAGAACGTTCTGATATAGCTGTTTTAGCAGGCAACTTCAATGCCCAAGTAGTGAAGTTATACCAGACTGAGAAGTATGTATGGAGTTCCTTGCCGACGAAACGACGACAGTAATCATCTTCTACAGTTCTGCTTAGATATTCATCTGTTCCTAGTCAGCACTAACTTTAGGCACAAAAAGAGACATTGTGTAACCTGGTGACCTGTATCACCAAATCAGCGCTGGTCTCCGATAGACCACATAGCGATAGGGTATCATTGGCGAGGTTTCAGTTCACTCCTTCTGGAACACGTGCGTAGACTTCGATCACACCATGGTTTGCGCACGTTTATGCTTACGTCTAAACGGACATAAATTGTTGGCAGCGAAGCAGTTACGTCCCCAACTAGATCGAGACACTGAGTCCCTATTTAAGGAAGAAATAGCGAAACGTGTATCTGAGGTCGACAGTAGAACTCCCCCTGAGGTAGTCTGGCACAACATACAGTTAGCTGTAGACACAGCTGTAAAAGCTGTTAATAACCTGAAACAAAAAGATAGTAAGAGTCAGTGGATTTGTACCACTTCATCCGAACTGATCAATACAAGAAGATTGATCCCAGAGGACTCCGAATATGATGAGGAGCGAAGGCTGCTCAAACGCAAACTGACAAGAAGTCTTCGCAACGGTCGTGAATAGTGGTGGGCGACAAAAGCGAAAGAGATGGGAAAGGAACTGGCAATCGACCAGCTCAGAAAGAAAACACAACTAAATCAGAACCTGAGAAGTATTTTCATTTCTTAATGTGTCATTTTGTAAATGATGAATCCAATTTTATCCCTGTTTTGCTTTTTTGTTTGTTTTACCTGGGAATCGGTGTTGGCTGTATAGAATCTTCCAATTCCCCTTTGGAAAGATTTGACTGTACCGCCAAGAGAATCTCAACTCAAATCAACCAGTAATCTGCTTATGTCTTCAGAATTGAAGTCTGCGAATAGGTGAGTAGCTAAAACGCTTTATATATATTTATATACATTACTAAAAATGTCCTAATTCCCCATCAGCGTCTCAGTATAGAAGCTAAACCAAATTGTATGAACATATATTCGTCTTGGTGACTGCAGATGACGTTACTTTGAGACCCATTTCAACTTCTTATCATGTTTTCGATTCTTCCCCAGTATCCTCTTATTTAGTTTGTATTTTAACGACAAAAGACAAGGGTCAGGCAACAGATCGTTTATTGAGAAAATCAAGAGATATTTATAGATTTTTATGTACATTATTATTCAATATTATTAGCAGAGAAGTAACGTCTTCTGATTGGTTGTTTTCTTGCTGAAGGTGATTCTGTACTGTTTGTGACCGTTTCTTAGAAAGTTAAGCCATATATCTGCGAATCGCATTTGCACACGTTAAGTCTGCTATGATTGGTTGGTAACTTTCCCAAGGTTAAGCTTTGTTATTGTTTTTTCTCATGAACCTGATTCGGGACGTAAACATTGACGTAAATTGTTGTCTACAATTTTGGCTTGCAGACAGTTTTCACCACAGTATGAGTATCAGTGCTAGGATCTAAGACACCCAACAGGATGATCGACTTTATGATGTGAATAGAGTCGAGAGATAATCAACTATTACAACCGACTGATTATTCATCAGTGTGTATTCTCATTCCTGACTTTGATCCGAGAAAGAATATTCCTATTGTCCTTCACAATTCATCCACGGGAATATATATCCTTCACTGTCTCTACTCTCCCAATTAATCTCACATGCAAGCAGTGCTTGAAAACTTCGTTCCCACGAACGTCTTTTTGTAAAGCACTTCCTGTACAGTGGGTGTTTGACTTGATTCGAGCTGTGGAACAGATTGAATTCATACGATGAATATGGTTGGTTGTGCTCAAGGTCACTGATGTGTGCCTTCGTGTGGGTGTTGATTCTTTAACTTCTCCGAGTGAGTGGGCGACTGATTTTCTTTGTACGATTCTTTACCTTACATTTAATGTTGAGTAATGAAGTTCTAAAAATTCGATCCATTAGAGTGGTGGCTTATGTCTTGGATACCAGGTGGTTTTTGTTATTTATCTAGCATCTAAGTCATTATGTGCTGTTAGGGTAGTATGTATTACATTAGAGTGAATTGTTCCTGATATTCTTCCTGTCTGTCTGTCTGGATTCAACATAGAACTTGGCACCGAAGTGCAGCAGTTCCAGTTGCCACGTTCCAAATAGCACACAAAAGTAGACAAGAAAATGAGTGAAGAGAATCAATAGAGTTTTGACAAGTATAAGAGTGAAACAGAATGAGTAATGGTAGAAAGGAATATCAAAGGTTAAAGAGACTGAATACATCTGCGTAAGCCATTGACAACGATTTTGAGCCATTTCACCTATTGTCTCCAGCCATTGATTCTTAGAGTCCTGAGGGCAGGCCCAAACCCGGAAGTCTGCATCTCCCTCCCTACCTGACTCAGTTTAACTGTCAGGGATTTCATGGATTGATGAGGCCATGTTTTTGTTTGGCATGGCACCACTTACTCTTTTCCAACCTGCACCTATATCAGCTAGTAATGCCCGTCCGTCGGGGGAGGCGATGGTTAGGCATGCGCATCACGTGACCTAGCCATCTCAATCTATGTAGCTTTATAGCCTCGTCGATTGATTTTCCCTCTTTGTCCAACACTACGCCTAACGTCAACATTACTTACCTTATTATGCCACCTAACGTGAGAAAGAGATCGTAAACATCTATGATCAAAAACAGTCAACCTTTTCATGTCTTCAACTCGTATTGGCCATGTTTCAGAGCCATAGAGAAGGACGGAGCGAACTGGTGAGCAGTACACACGTCCCTTGGTTGATAGCCGGATGTCACGCCTATGCCAGAGATGGCGTAAGTTAGCGAAAGCAGCTCGAGCTTTTACATTCTTCCCAGTTAAACACTAGCATATTTCATGTCTATACAACTTGGTAAATAGTAGTACTAGACAGCTGTTTTGCGCGTCAATGGTTCAGCAGTAGAATGCTTCCCAACCACGCCTTATGTGATCCAGAGTTCGATTCCCGGCCGGCGCACCCCATTACCCCTCTTAGCAGGTTATAAGCCCGATAAAGAGAGAAGGTTGGGTGTTAAGCTAGTAACCCTACCCTGTAACAAAAAGCACCACTGTTACTTATACCATAAAGCTCAAGCTTGAAGGCCCCATGTTCCACTCAGATCGCAAAGGAATAAAACAACACAGCTGTTTCATTGTAATTTGATACCCTGAAGGATTGAGCCGAAGATTATCAGAATGGTAACTTTGAAATCAGTTGCTTCCATACAGTTTGCCTTGATGATTATTAATTCCATGTCTACAGAACTGACATCAGTTAGAGAGAACTATGGGAAAATCACCACTGGAGTACTGGACAACTGTATCGTCAACCTAGTTTGGCACTCTTCAACCGTTTGAACCCAGAACCTTCCGGTTACAACAAAAGCTAGCTCGTGGACCATTCCGCTGTTGGGATTCGACTCAGTGGCCAACCCATGAATCCCAACTTCTGTCAATTCACGAGATAAATACATATATATGATTCTCCTCTCACTTGACTTGTCTGAATGGTCTTCGAGCTCGCCTCGTAACCGGAAGATCTGGGGTTCGACCCACGATGGGGCATACTGCTGAAGGGTGTCAAACTAGGACGAAATATCTCCGGTACCATCAGGTTTTTAATGGTTGTCTAATTGATTTGCTGGATCGTAACGACAATTACCTTGAGTTATGTATCTGTATTGACTGAAAAAACACTAGAACTGATTGGCTTAGGTGAAGGGAAAACGTATTCATGAGCATATCTGTGTTATGAAACTTATAAATTTTCCGAAAATTTAGTATGTTTTTTAAAATTTGTTCTTCTGTTAGTTTTTGTATTTAATTCTCACATGATGCAGTTTTCAGCAAAAGTAGGCCGTAAGCCATGCAGGCTAGTTGAGAGATTAACATACCACTCACTCACACGCACCTACATGCACACACACATATACAGAGAAAGCCTCCGTGACGTATTTTATTGAGTGTCAACTAGAGTCGGTGGGGCGCAAAAAAAATACGGATATTTTGTTATTAAATTAAAAGGGAATGTCTACTTCACACGTAAATTATCTACATTTCATCTCCAAATTCCCATTTACGCATTTAGAAGAAAAAAACACAGAAAATTAAACGAAGAGATATACATTCCTTTTCAATTAGCAGCAGTTCCTCATCATTGGCTTTACCAACACATCAAGATATAAATTTCACATCAAAATTGTCTCAATAATGTGGGTATTTTAGTTCATCAGTTTTAGGTATAGGGTGGGGAGGGGGATGAAAATTAAGAGGTTAATAGTCATCAAAACAATTAGCTAATAGATGTCAGTAACAGCGTCGGTGGCTTAGCAGTAGAATACTCGCCGACAATGCCTCATGTGGTCTGGGGTTCGATTCCTGGCCGATGCATTCCCTTATCACACTCTAAGGCGGTGATAATACCACTAAGGAGGGGAGGTTGGGCATAAGACTGTCAACCCTACCCCGTAAAAATAAACACCACTGATGCTGAAACTTCGAAACCCTATGTTCCACTGGGAACTTTGAGGAACAGAATTTTTCTTTGAATGCTAGTAACAAGACATCTAAGTTTTGAATCAGGTAGATGTGAAAATAATTACTTTTTCAGTAGTTGGTTTGTAAGGATTATACTTGTTTTTAAGAGTTTGACCACGGATTGATATCAGTTAGAAAACCATTGAAAACCAACACTGGAGTACTGGACAGCTGCTTCATTCTAGTTTGGGAATCATCGGCAGTACGCCCACCCACTGGGGTTCGAACCCATAACCTCCCTGTTACATGGCAAGCTAGCTCGTATACCTTTCAGCCACTGGGACCCGATTCAATGACAAGTCCATGAATTCTAACTTCAACCAATTCGTGATTTTTAGCGCGACCACTAACCAATGTCATCGATGGGAACTCCATCCTCATGCTTGACCGAATGGATCTCACTGGTCACTCCTTCTCACTAGAACTCCAGGAAACTCTGTCCTGTAGCAAGTCACTAGCAAGCATCAGATTAATTTTCAAGATTTGGTTTGTAAGGATTAGATTTGTTTTTACGAGTTTGACCACGGATTGATATCAGTTAGAGAACCATATATATCTACAAGCTTGCCTTGTAACCGGAAGGTCGTGGGTCCGAACCCCAGTGGGTGAGCATACTATCGATGATTCCCAAACTAGAGTGAATCAGCTTTCCAGTACTCCAGCACTGGTTTTCAATGATTCTCTAACTGATATCAATCCATGATCAACTCGTCGAAGATAATTACGGAACTCAAGATCAAATAAGTCCCAGTGGTTAGGAACAAATTATTACATAATCAAGAAATTTGTAGAGTAATGATGACTAAGGAGAGTAGGATGACTCAGTAGAATTACGTAAGATGCAAACGAGTAAATAGAATTAGTCAGTTTTGTGAACATAATAAAATAAAGATGATGGCTGCAAAGAGAGGGGAAAAATCGTTCTTAAAAAAACTTAATACATATATGATGTAGTCGGCCATGGCAAAGAGAGCGGCTGTACAAGTTTCTTTTGAACTGTTCAGATGAATTCCGATTGCCTCTGCTTTATGTGTAAAAGTCGTATTCGTAGAGCGTGCGGCAGAAGGTTGGGTGAGATAAGATAAATATCTTTAAAATATCTTTGTTAGTGTGCTAACTTGATGTCCCCTGTATCGACGAGATGAGCTAGTATTGAGCTGCGTATAGCAACTTTATTTGAACCTTTGCCAAACTAAGATGGGAGGTGTTGAACTCTCCTGATCGTACTCCTAATGTAACTAGATTTTATCTGACTGATTAATGAGAGCATAGATGTGAGCTTACTTACCCGGAATAGATGTTTCATGCATGAAGTTGTGAGCTACACTTATTGTGTGTGTGTGTGTGTAAGAGCTGAT